TGGGTTTAGAGTTTTGGGTTTAGGGATGCTCGATTTACTGAGGAAGTGCGAGGCGTGATCTTCTTCAGGGTTTGGTGCTGGGATGTTGGGTGGGTTAGGGGTGTTGTGGGAAGTTGGGGCGTGGGTTCGGCCTTTGGGTCTCAGCTCTCGGATTGCTTGACAACAAAGCCCAACTCCACCATCTCGCGCAAGTTCTGCTTCTCGATTTCAAGTCTTAAGACCGCAGAGTAACTTCTGGTACGTCCTTACGGTCCTAAACCTCCGTAACCACTACTAAACCCTGAACCCCCGGACACCTGGACCCCCAAACCCCCTGAATCAAGACGCTAACCGAATTCCCAAACCCAGAAGGGCACACCCCGGACCTTGCATTTGTACTTACTGACTTAATGTAGACCTCTGAATAAAAAAACTTCCCCCGTTCTTTGCGGGCCTCACTGTTAGGATCCCTACTCGAATTTCAAATCCGTATTGCGAGAGGGGATCTATAAACTCTAAACCCCAAACCTCGCGGATCCACACTCTAAACCCTAAACTGTAAACCGGAACCCTAAACCCTAAACTTTGAATCCCAAACCGGATCCAAGAGCTCCTTATTCTCCATCAGCTTCCGGACGGCGGCCACGAAGCGCTGTTGCTCTGCTTGCGGCATCAGTCGAATCTCCTTCCCGAGATCTGCAATCCCACAGGGCTTGTAATTATAGTGCTTCATGTAGGGGTCTTAAGGATCAGAAGTGGTAGATTGGTAAGTCTTTAGTTAAGCCGCTATAGTCTGGGACTTTGGGAACTTTCCGTACTTCATGCCATGCTCCTACCGGATCATGGAAGCCAGGGAAGCCTTTGCAAGCCTGGGTTAGGGTTTAATGTAGGGGCCTTCATAATTAGAATAGGGTTTTTGGGGTTTCGTATTATAATTATAGTATAATATACCCCCAAACCCAACAGTCAATCCCAAAAAGTTGGAAGCCGGATTAAGGACAATTAGTGCTGGAATTCCCTATGCATGTCTCTTAAGTGGGCTTATGCTGTACTCTAGGTATTAAGGGTCCCATATTAGGGCTTAGTACCCCAGGTCCTTGCGCATGACCACAGGGTGCGGGATGCCTGCAACCGCTCAAAAAGAAACGCGAAAAGCAAGGGAAAGCAAAGCGGCAACAGAACGGATGCAAACAGAGGCACCAACATGATGCTGATGACTGTTTCACCACCAAGAGTAGCTCAAGCAGCTGCCTGAAGGCTCTCTCGCAACGCCACAGGAGGCCAAGGAGCACTTATTGACAAGCTCTGCCGTCCCGAAGAATCCACCCTCTGTCACCCCAAACCTTCCACAGCGCAACCTTCAACGACAAGCCCTGCGAGACTCATTCGGAGGTTTCACATGCAGGTTCTGGATGTTCGGGCTTATAAGGTTCAGATTAACCCTGAAGCCTGAGTGTTTTGCTCTGGGTCGGGATCGTTCACCTCAGCCGCGCCTGGGCTATTCACCTGCACGCTGTACGAGAGCTGTAGGCGAGATGTACCTGTGCCGTTCAGCGTTCTGGGGGAATTTGGGGGGTTTGGAGATAGCGAGTGAGATTCATGTTAGGGGGTCGGTGGTCGTGGGCGGCCCGAGATCAACTGCGTAAAGGAAGCCGTAATTCAAAGACGTCGGAGGGGATCTCCACCGAGCAGGCTAAAGCTCCGTCGGTCTTGCTATGCGCCATCGAGTTTCGGGCAGTTCGGGTTATGTTTGGCTTCAAGATCAACAGCTGCCCCCAAGACCGCTACTGCCCTTCACGTAATTCTTGGGCACTCTGTGGAATATCACTAACCAGGATCTTGAACCCTAAACCCCTGAACCCCTAAACCCTAAACCCAAAAGTCCCACGCCCCAGCAACTTAAAGCGCTGAAGCCAAGGATTCGGCCTCTCAGTCCCGGCAACTCCAAGGTCACCTGGCCAGGATCTGCGGGTTTTTTTTGAGAAAAAGGGCCATTGGGGGGGGAAGGGCTTATAGGGTTTATGTTGAGTTTAAGGGCTTTTGGGAGGAAGGGCCTATAGGGTTTATTTTGAGTTTAAGGGCTTTTGGGTTCAGGGCCTAGGGTTCATTTTGAGTTCAAGGGCTTTTGGGTTTAGGGCCCAGGGTTTATTTTGAGTTTAAGGGCTTTTGGGTTTAGGGCCTAGGGTTCATTTTGAGCTTGAGGCCTTTGGGTTTGGGGCCTAGGGTTTATTTTGAGTGTAACGGCTGTTGGGTTTAGGGCCTAGATTTTGAGTTTAAAGGCTTTTGGGTTTAGGGATGAGGCTTTCTTTGGTGCTTTCTTTTGATCTTAAGCTTTGCTTTTGGAAGCTTCATGGTTGAACTTGGTATGGCCTCAAAGATCTCGGGGTCAAGGGCTTAATGCTTGAAGGCTGTAGGGGCTAGAGCTGACAGGCCTGAGATTCACGTAATACTTAAAGGATCATGGGACTTAGTAAGTAGGGATATATTAAGCGTAACCATACTTATAACCCCAATTAAGGGACTTATAACCTTACTTACTAAGTCCCATGATCCTCCAAGTATTTTACGAGCTTGAACCGCCTTCAACTTCCAACAGATTTTGTCGTGCTGGGAGCAAATGGGTGCAAAGCGGAGAGGTGAAAACACATGGACAGTGGCGGGTGTGCTAGGTAGAGGGCAAATCCAAAACGGAGGGAAAAAGGATGGTATTCTATTCTATTCTTTTGAATCGTATCGTACTTTACCGCAAAGTAAGGCATTGCAGATATGATATACTATATGGTGCACTTTATTGCGTAGTATCTTGTGTGATGTTGCGTTTACCTTAAGAAGCCAAAACCTACTTTTTTGTAGGGCCCCTATAAATCCCATATTAGGGTTTATAATAAGAACCTACGAAAAAGTTGGTGTTGGGTTCTTAAGGTATACTGCATTGATGGAGGGGTGGTTTCAATGTGTGAGAGGAGTTCGCCTGCCCGAGGTCTTGCCGTCCCGGGTCGACAAACACGAGGCCTCTGAAGGATTCTACGTTGCCTAAGGCCTACCCATAGGCCCCATGGTAGTTCTTTTTTTGGGGTTCATATTTAGAATCCTATAAGGTAATCCCAAAAAGGAACTACTATGGGGCCTATGGGTAAGGACTAACTAAGCAAACGCATGTGCCAGCAGAAGAGTCTCTCAGAATGCAATGCCACCCAACATCCACTACTTTGCTTCATATAAGGACTTATGATGCCTAGTTCTTCCCACAACCCGAAGCCCAAACCCTTGCAGAACCTCTGAAAGCCGCCACACCCTCAACTCAAACCAGAACCGGAGATGTCGGGCCTGAGTTGCCCCGACTTGTGGCAAGAAGAGCACGTCGCTGAGGAGCTGGTCGCCTCTTTTTCGCAGACTTCATTCAGGATATGGGCTTCATTTCAGGGCTCCGTTACAGGCTTCCTCTGCGGGGTCCTTTCAAGGTTTACACCTCAACCGTAACCCGCTCTTTCGGCTCGTGGCTTCGGTTGGGCCTTCGGACCCCCTAAACCCTAACTTCTATAACGCCTAAATGACCCTGGGCTGGGTTCCCTGATCCATGTCACCGATGCGCAGCTGTCAGAGCGACGTGCTCTCTGCTTATTTCAACTAGTCCAGTTTCCGTCCTCAGGTTGAAGGCTCTGCGAACCCGAAGAACCCAAAATCCTAACTCGTGAACCTGACTGACTCTAGAACCCAAACATCACCTCAAAACGCTGGGTACGTGATCCCGCCTAACCCGACGTCAACGCAAGAGCAACTGACAAAATCCATAGATTTGAATCCGCAACATGCTTCCTTACCGTCTTCGCCGAAACCCCAATACCCCTACCTAACCCCCCAGGTACCTACTATATGGGGTACTAGAGCCCCTAGGGCCCTATATAGGAGGTACCTGGGGGGTTAGGGCCTTAAGTAAGCACTAAACTTCAAGCCACGGAGGGCTTTATCGTGTTGGGCTCTCCGGGCCGCAGTCTTCGAGGGTTTGTTAAGCCTACCCTGAGCTGTCTCCTCATTGGGTGGTTTTTTTGGTCCTTATTATAATACGGCACCTATTATTTAGGGTACCCCAAAAGGAACCATAATTTTGACACCTACCCTCTCATGCAGACGAAGGAGCTGCTGAAATGAAATGCCGTCGCCTCTTTATCCATACATCTCATACCCTATAGGTTCTTGATCCATAACTGCCTTCAGGAAGTGACCGTTCCACGAACACGACGCCAAATTCACAGCCAAATCGTGAACTCCCAACACCACACAGCTGAAACAAGATCTTCGAAAAGTGTAAGACGCTTCACCTCCTTCTGCGGACGTTCTCCACACTTCCACGGTGTAGCCTCGCAGGCACCCAGCTGTCTGCACCCGAACGGGCGCATTCGGGTCTTTGGACTCTGGAGGCTTTAGCGTGTTTCGGTGTCGGGGCTTCCTGAAAGTTTGAAGGGTTGAGAGGTCAGAACAAGCCCACGACTGACCTTTTGATTCAGGGTCTCCGAACACCTGGGTTCGTGATTCGGGGGCTGGGAGTAGAAATTAGCGTTGCTACTAGATGCTACTAGTACTGCTTGCTACCGCTATCGTTACTGCTACTGTCATTGTTATTGTCAGTGCTATTCGTTGATGGCTATTGCTGCTGCTATAGTTGAGAAAGCAACTGCAGCAGCTCTGAACGATGAGCTATCACCATGTTAGGGGTTTAGGGTTGAGGGTTTGCCGTGGAATGGCGCGTAGGCGATATTTGTCTTGTGAAGGCTGTGTCGACTGCGATGAGGTGTGAAAGCAGCCTGGCTATAGACGGCTTTCCTTCTTTTTCTCCCACCCCACGCCGACCAGTGCTGGTCCTGGGGAGAACGTGTTCCGGTACCGGACCCGACGTGGGTGCTACGGTCCCCATGACTGCAGGAAGGCGGGCTGCACCCACCCACTGTAGGCGGGCGGCCTATGCGTTGAGTTTAGGGTTTAGGGTTTCAGGATCTAGTTCGCGTGCACGATCTACGGCATGAGTGCTCGCAGCAATAATGGCGTGTTCGGAACCTTTCAAGCCTTATAGCCAGAACTGCAACCCTCCAAGCAAAACAACCTTCTGTTTGGTCTTCTTACGATTATGAAATCGTGACTGTTGCTGTTCTTACGAAAAAGCTTGCTGCTATTTTGACGACTCTCGCTATTGCCACTTATTGCTATGTGGTGGGCACGATCCTGGTGATTGCTGTGGTCCTTGTACGTATAACAATACCGAGAACAATGTTTGTAATGATCGGTACAACATTGGATCTTCGCCTTGCGCATCCAGGAGGAGTTCGCGGGCATCCTCCCAAACCGGATTGCTCGGATCGGAGCCCTCAGCTGCTTGCCACCTGAAGGGCAGAAACCCGTCTCCGAAACCCTGAACCAAACTCAAACCCCCAACCCAACCTACCTGAAAGCGACGCGCTGGACACGGCTCGGTTCGGGGTCGTTGTATCTGGTCTGGGCTCGAAATTCTACTGCAGCATTGGTTCCGTTGGAGCAGGCTCAGCACGCCTAGATCCAAGTCAGAAGCAGCGAAGCAAACCAAGAAAAGAAACCCAGGCACCTTTCTTGCACTTCCAGGGCCACCCCTGTCCTCAGGTGTGCGAGCCAGCGGGCTTGTTGTGCTGCTGATTTAAGATGTCTTTTCTAGCGTCAGATTTCAGTGTGCCGGTTGGCATATTCTCACATAAACAACCCGGTTACAGTGACCTGCTGCTGTAAGAAGAGCAAAGCGTCATGAGAATGTACGGCTCCAGGCCGACACCCTCCTCCACGAGAAGGTTTAGGTCCTGTGCTCGAACTGTACGCCGCACAGAACATTCAGGTGAAAAAAGAGCCTGGATCATTGACCACGACAGATTCACCAGGTGTAGCCGGTGGGGAGACATCTGAGAATAAAGTGATGACATTCACTGGTGATGCCGAGATCATTGTGACCATCGTCTAAGGTGATGACATGATCATCTTAATTAGAGCATGATCGAAGCTCCTGGCGTTCAGCCCCAAACCCTACTACTTCCCTGAACAGCCCTCGGCCAGGCTAAACAGGGCTCCTGCGCAGCCACCCGCGCCACTCGCAGAAGATCAGGCGATGCGGGTGGCGAAAACAGCGGCTCCTGGCAACGGGAAAAAGTTTGGGCCGGTTGGGGCTTAACCCTAACCCTCCAGGTACCTACTATATGGGGCCCTAGGGGCTATATAGGGCCCTAGGGGCTATATAGGGCCCTAGGGGCTCTTGTACCCTATATAGTAGGTANNTAGGTACCTGGGGGGTTAGGGGAAGGCTGCCGTGGCTAAACGCCAGAGCATCTCTGCAGGATCCTTGAACCAGCAAACTGTGCCGGCATCTAAACTCATGGGCAAACGGCCGCGAGCTTCGGCACGCCCGAGAACCTATTCCTACCTCCGTAACGGATGATCCTGATCCCTAAAATCCTAAACAGCACCGGGGGTCCGGAGCAATGGCCCATGTCAACGTCACAGTGCCCCCGGCAGACATTGGCCAGGTTTTGGTTCCTGAGCTTTAACATATATATATATATATGATTGGGCCTTACTAAACCCCTGCCCTAAACATCAGGCCCGACATCTTAAGCTCTGAACCCGAATGAAGGCCTAAACACTTAGCCCTAACCCCTAAGCCCTGAATCGTATAAGCCCTAAACCCTAGACCATTTTCCGCTGAGAGGTCAGGTCTTCGTCTTAGTTCTCCAGGATCACCGGTCAGGTTCAGGTTTGACTGCAGGGCTTTGGGCAGCTGGGTGGGCACGCGAAGTGTTTCACAGGTGGGTTCAGTAGGGTTTTCCTAAACCCTAAACCCAAACCCCTAAACCCTAAACCCTGAACCCTAATCCCTAAACCCTAGTTTAGAGATGTGTGAGCAGAGGGTTTGCAGGGTTGGAGCTGTTCCAGAGGTTCACTCGAGGTTCCTGAACCTTCGACCCTCGACCCTGAACCCTCTCTCCCGTTTTCGCCAAAGGGAACCCTCAAGCGCCCCTAGCCCTGAATCAAAAGGGTTTTGAGTCATTGAGGGTTTGGGGGTTTAGGGTTTCCAAGCTGTTGGCTTTGGTTTCGGTTTTTTACTGTTAAAGTTTTAGGGCTTAGGCCCTGGGCTTTGGTTGGCTCCTCAACTTACAGGCCAAGCGGCCGAACGAAGCCTCGCTTTGGAAGTCGATCATCACCTTGGGAGGAAGGCTTCTGCGAGGATCTGCTTCAGAAGGCAAAATTTCACTACTTTACATCTGGCTACCAGGATTCCACATTGGGCTCATCCTTCCTAGTCTTGCAGAAACTCACACGCATCCCTATCCGGAGTACATTCGGCAAGCACGAGGTTGACCTTCCAAAGTCAAACCTCCTCTCAGGTCTTCGCACCTAAACTGTAAACCCCTGAGGGGGGCTTACGTGGGGTTTAGGGCTTCGGGATGTACCGGCCTGCTCCAGCATCTCATCATTGCCGCCGCTGCTGTTGTGGTCCCAAAGCTCCAACATCCTGTCGCTTGAAACGCTTGAAATGAAACAGGCTCTGGGAAATGCACGCTTAATTTCTTAAGCCCGAAGCCCCTACTTGGGAGCGGAATTGGTCGATCTGAACCGAAAGACGCCTAAGCCAAGGGCCCTATGAACTTGGAGCCTCCAAAACTTTTTAAAGCAGCTGCCAAGGCAGGCAAACCCCAAGACTCCAAAAACCCTCAAACCCCAGAATCCCAAACACCCAAACGCCACCAAAACCCTAACAAAACGACCAAACCTGAAGCTCGAGAGTCCCAAACCCTAAAGCCCTCGGTGTAGGGTTTAGGGGTTTAGGGGTTTGGGGTTTATGTCAAAAGTGCGTTGGGCCTTTCACTCCGCGAAGTGTCCAGCTCACCCAATCCGGGTGCACACTAGAACATCCGACCAAGATATTCTTAGCAAGCCTAAACCCTAAACCCTAAACCCTAAACCGTGAGGGCTTAGGGCCAACCCGAGAGTTCTACCTGTCCGAACAGAATTGGGGGTTTCCGAAAATAGGGGGTACCTTATTCCGGGGTCCTTATAATAAGGATCCTACTATTTGGGGTACTATATTAGGGTCCCCTATTTTCGGAAACACCCTAATTGGCAGAGACATCCGAGGCACAGCTGTGCAGCATCCTGGACACCGCCAAAGGTCACCACATAGGGGCCTGGCTCGGAGTCACCAAGAAGGGGTTTAGGGTTTATGGGTTTAGGGTTTAGGGTTTAGGGTTTTTGGGGTCTAAAGGTTTAGAGTTTAATCTAGGACATTTTCAGGTGGGTAGTTGCCGTTATAGGAGCCTTATAGAAGGTCTATACACCTTACAGAAGTCTTATACAAGCCCTATATACCTTAAACTCCCCACCTGTAGTTTCCTTTAATTTAAGGCTTCAGGGTTTAGGTTTTAGGGCCGGGGCCTTGACAATAAGACCTTCCAAACTGTGAGTGGGTTCAATAAAGCTTTCTACGACCTCAATAAAGCTTTCTACGACCCAAAGGCTCATAGACCGTTAACCTGCACCCTGGCTTTCCACGGCCCTGTCTGTCTGAAAGAGGGTTTAGGGTTTAGGGTTTAAGGTTTCCTAAACCCAAAAAACCCTAAACAACCCTAAAGCCCTTTTAGGGTTGGGTTTAGGGTGGCGGACTCGCCCCTGGATCAAGGAAGATTCCGGAACAACACCTTTGAAGCGGGTTTCAGGTCATAGCCGACAGATCGGTAACCCTGCTTTGCTTTGCTAGGTCTGGTAGGTTTGTACCTGTCTTTTACCTGTCTTTGAGCCCGAAATCACATACCTACACCCGGGACACTGAAACCGAAAAGCCGTAGAATCTGTAGGTCCCTGATATAATCTGCACGGCTGTACGGAAACTCGTCAGAAACCCACATGCTGCTTACACAACCCGTATAGAACCCCTTACAGAACCCTTCACAGTGTGTAGAGCTGCAAGCATCGTGCCTGGAAAGCTGGGTGTGGAGGTCCGTCGCTGGAAATCCTCCCGGCTACCGACTGCGACGCGATGAGACTTCACCAAGAGATACCTTGAATAGAGCAATGGCTTTGGGGTTCCATTTCGGGTGTAGGGTTCAGGCTTAAAGGTTGAGCTTCGGGTGGAGAGTTTGGGGTTCAAAATCCCGTTTCGGGTGCAAGGTTGTTGGGTTTAGGGTTCGGTTTCGAGTGGAGGGTTGAGGGCAATGTGGCTACAGCTCTTGCTTGAGTCTACGGCGCCTGGGCCTTTCTTTTAAAGCTTGACGGAAAAGGACAACACCCACAATCCCAACTACCCAAATCCTCCAGCCCCAATTTTAGCCCTAGACTACAACCCCTAAGCCAGGAACCCCAAAAGACCATCAGCACCCCAAGGGTCTACTTATTTAGTGCCGACATTCGCATGGATTGCTGCCCGACTTCCCGAAGTTCTTAGTTTGATCTGGGATGCGGGTCGGGAGGTCGCTGCTCCTGCCCGGCCGGCGGATAGCAAAGGGTTTCGGGTTGGAGGGGTTATAGGGTTGAATGAAGGCGCTAGGGGCCTCGGGTGTAAGCATATTTGAGGGGAGGGGGATGAAGGGTTTCTTCCTTTGGGGCTTAGCCTGCAGGGTTTCAGGTTTCGATGAGTTACTTTGAACATGTAGGATTCAGTGGGCGTGCGGAACTCGTGAGCTACATACTGCAGGGGCTGCTTCGTTTGTTTGGATTCGCGGTTCAACTCGGTCCAGGAAACGATGAAATCTGCACACTTTTATGATTTACAGTGAGAAACCCCAACTCATTTTTGGCTAAGAAGATAAGCATACGAGGCTTTCACCGGCATTTGAAGATGCTTCCGGAAGCAAGTCGATTGAGTAGGTGCAGGGTTTAGGGCTTGCGCTTAGCTGGAGGGCGCATGACGCACGCACCAGACGGATCCCTATAAACCCTAAACCCTAAACCCGGACCTCAACCCAATCAGCCTGAAGCCCAACCCGACAACTCAGAGAGAAAGCTTCAGGACGGCGATCCAAGCAGAACAAAACGCAACCTCAAGTCTGTCGGCAAACCTGGAACAGATCCACGGAACTTCCCGTTTTGTTGAGGCCTTAGAGCAGGAGGTTCTCCATGAGAGGTGTCTCTTTTAGGCTGTCCAGTTTCGGGCTATCAGGTGCGTCTTGTGAGACCTCCCCTTGCAACCCCAAAGCCCTAAGCCCTAAGCCCTAGCAGAGGGGGTCGAGTCCTGGAGGCATCCAGGATCAACCAGAGGAGTCGACGCCGCCACATCCGTGATGCGGATGGAGTTCAGCATCGGAAATGCGCAAGGCCGGCTCTGGACCCTTCCCTAACTTTCTTGTTTTGTCCCTATATGGGTGGTTGTCAAAATTATGGTCCCTTTTGGGGGCCTTATTATAATACGGCACCCATTATTTAGGGTACCCCAAAAGGGACCAGAATTTTGACGACTACCCATATGGGGCCTAGGGTTTAGGGTTTAGGGGAGTAAGAGCCTACGAAGAGGCAGGTTATGGTAGTTCGTAAACCGTGTACAACTCTGAGAAGCGGCAGTACTCTAAGACTTGAGGCCCCGATCATCGGCCGTAGCGCGAAGCTTTGAAACTGCCAGGCTCGTGCTTGGGACCCCGAAAAGAGCCAAGCCTGTGCAAGACGAAGCAAGCTTGGCGAAGCTGAGTGGCTTGGGATTTTGGGCAAGATCTAGGGTTCAGGGTGTAGGGTCCAGGGTTTAGGCTGCAGGGCTTGGGGAGGGAGTCGCTGTGTTGAAGTCTGGGATCTGAGGTGCGGAGGTGCAGACTGCACAAGGCTTCAGTGAAGCGCTGGATTCCTTCCTGCACGGCAGGGAGAAACGAGGAAGAGAGAGAGAGAGAGAGAGAAGGAGAGATCTAATGGGAGATCTCCGAGACCAAGATAAGAGTGGCCTTCAGATCAACGGCTAACGGTTTAGGGTTTAGGGCGCCGCTAACCCTCCCTACCTCCGCCCTGAACCTCTCGAGGACAGGTAAACCTGGCAATGTAAAGTGCAGAATAGCTAGAACGAGATCTCGGGGCCATTTTATAGGATTACCAGACATGGCCTGTCAGGGGCTTGATTATTGTTAAAATCTTATGCCGACCCCGATGAGCTCGCAACCGCGATCCTAAACCCAAAACCCTAACCACACCAAACTAGACGCAAAACCCGGGACTCCGCAAAACCCGGGACTCTAAACCCCGAAGACCCCAACCCCGCACCACGACCAGGTCTTCTTCTACGCTTCACTTGGGCGCAGCCAAGCCAGTCTTGGGGAGCAGGAAGGGCGGATCAGCTGCCCCATCCTGAGTGGCTTTAAGGCTCAAGGCTTCGAAGCTTTTGGGCTTAGGGCCAGTCAACCCTAAACCCTAAACCCTAAACCCTAAACCCCTAAACCCCTAAACCCTCAAGACTTTAAGGTTCAGGAGGCTTTATGACTTCTGTGTTCTGGGGTGTAGGGGTCGGTTCGTGGATCTGCCGAAGCAGGTTTGGAACCGCCCTAAAAAGGGACACGGGACTGTGCTTTTTGGCCTATTGGGTTTAGGGATTAGGGTTTAGGGTTTAGGGTTTAGGGATTAGGGTTTAGGGCTTAGGGTTTAGGGTTTAGGGATTAGGGCTTCAGGGCTCGATTCAGCGGTTTGGGGCTTCACGCTTCAGGGTTTACAGCGCCCCGGGTGAGGGCTCCTCAAGCCGCAGCTCCCGATAAGCCAAGATCCTGAGCTGAAGGGCCTAAGCCCCCGAGTCACAAGACCTAAAGCAGCAGCAAAAGCGGCGCAATCACAACAACAACCACCACCACCACCACCGCAACTACAAACACAACTCCAATTACAAATACACGTGCACATACACATGCATGTACAAACAACTCAAAAAAGAATAACCACAGCAGCAGCGTCACTTTGCAACAACCGCTGTGTCAAACACCGACCTGGGCTCGCCCGGAAGAAGCATCGCGGCTCAGCGGCATCTTCCCCTTCAAGGCCTCTTCATACTCGCCCTTGTGCTCGGGAGGCACGGCGATCTCGCGGGCAAAGGCATTGCTTGTGAATCCTAAGCCCTACAAAACCTGGCATTCAGCTTTAAACTAGCAAAAGGTGAACGTATGAACTACTTTATATTCGGCTTTGAAGCTGGGCAAGCTTGAGACTCACTTGCTAGCCAACTTCGAACTACTACAAGCCCGAAGCCCCAAAACCCCAAACCCCAAAATCCTCAACCCTCAAACCCTGAAGTCCCTAAACCCTGAACCCTAAAACCATAAACCCCAAAACCCTCAACCCACAGACCCTAAGATCCTCAACGCGACAATCCAGAGAGGGTCCCCCCAAACAGCGCCTCGTAGCGCTTCAGGACCGCCCCAAGCACAGCCGGAAGGATCCTCAGAACTATCTTCTCGTTCTACACCGGGCTTTTGTAAAGCAGTTGAGGTTTAGGGTTTAGGGTTTAGGGTTTAGGGTTTAGGGTTTAGGGTTTAGGGTTTTTTTAGGGCGGCCCTGCG